ATTCACTGCTTCATTAGTAGTAACTCAATAGGATCACAGCAAACGGTGTTCGCAGACAACAAGCTTTTCTTTGTTCAGTCGTTCTTCTGTGGGAAGTTGTTTTTAAGGAAGGGAAAATAACCTTGATTGTCAATTTCACAACTCGATCTCACATGTTGCATTGTGTCCTTAAAAATTCCTTTTTTTTTTTTTTCCTTGCTTTTTTTGAACTTATTTGCGTTTCCCACGATGACACATTCAAACTTGTATGTGCACACACTGGGGCTTTGATTGTTAGTAGACAGGAGCAGATTAAGTTCAGATTTCAGTTAGGCGCTTTAAAATTTGCAGATGCTTTTGCTACAGCAGATAAAAGCAATGAGAGACACAGAAACTGAAGCTTTATTCATTCATATTTCCTTACACTGTATTCCCACTGTCCTCTAGGGAAACCAATTCTAACTTTTTCAACATTTAAATAGAAGATTTTGCTATTTAGATTCAATCTGTCTCACAGTAAAAAGGAGCAAGATGAAAGCAGAGACCTTTTAAACACACAAGTCTCCCGTTGTGTTTATGGTGTACAGTAAATATGGATCGAAAAATCAGACAGCAGTGCTAAAAATATACCATTAAAAAATGGCACCACACAGCTGAGGTGAAATGGGATTTAGTTGCCCAGTAACCCATTTGAGATAATCAATGAATCTATTTCAATAAAAGCTGATTCTACTAATCCGATGTGTACTGGTTGTGGTTTTCTTTCTTGGCAAAGAGATGGTATAGTTTTGTCATTTGAGCTGTGTTTATTCACTGTGTTCAGCAAATCTCTTGCTGCTCACTGGAGCTTTCTGAAGGTGAGAAGTCCGGGCAATGGCACCAGGTCTCTACGGGACATTTACCATGTGCGCTGTCTCCTTGCAGAGCTGGCAAAGTGTTGGTAATTATTCTTAAAATAAAACACCCTTCACAACAGAATCAAACCTGGAAAGATTGGTGGTTGGCTGGGCTTTTGGGGAATTTACTAGACATTTGGACCATTTGCAAAAAAGTGAGAAGCGCAGACAAAAAATAGTAGAAAAGTAGAAAGAGGCAAAAATGAATCTTAAAATCAATGAGCCACTACTTTGCAAAAGTCATTTAAAGTGCATTACATCCAGGCAATGATGTGTCAGTGCAGTGATAAAGTCATTTTGTTTTTAGAGTTTCAGCGCAAAGTTGGAAATAATGCTGACGGCGCACAAATTATCAAATGCACCAGCTGGATTGCAAGCTGTCCACCAAGGTCAGGAAAGTAAAAAAAATATTAAGCTTGCATTTGTGGAACTTGTTAAAGGCCTGATCTCTTCGAGCTGTCTGATTCATAATTTATAGGGACTTTAAATTACTCAGTGGCAGCACTTCAAAGGTAGCCAAGAAGGTGTCCATAATATGAATCTTTTCTAATGTGAGCGTGAACCACTGGTAACAAAGTAATCGTTAATCCTGTGTGAAAAAAAATAAATCTTAATATCACTTCTATAAAATCACCCCAGTGTGCATGGCTTAACTGCATCCCATTCAATAGAAGTAGAATATGTTTTATTAAAATGTGTATTTCCATAAAATAAAGCAAGTATAGGCCTAGAGGTAAGTTAAATACTTTTACACCAAGATCTTAAAGGCTCACATCACTCACGAATATTATTACTGCACTCCGGAGCTTTTTTAGATTTCAAGAGGAAGCATTATATGTCCCTCTAGGAAATGTGTGCACAGGGAAATAGCACTGTCTCCTCAATGGGCCTTTTCAAGTACTTCCTGGGGAAAGGCTGGACCACTCTGATACATTGTGTCCCCTCAGCGCACACTCCATCATTGCGCAGAGTTTCCTCAGCCTTAACGAGTGACTTAACGAGTGTTTTTAAAAGCAGAGTTTTCTTCTGTCTTTATAGCTCTCTAAAAATATATGGACTTATCTTATGTTTGATTATTAGTCTTTCTAATTAATCACTTACACAGGATTTATGAGTTTAAACGCAGGTGGTGCGGTGCAGGCACATTTCCGTGTTAGAGAGACATTGGAAATAGTGCTGTGCTATACTGCAAATTTTAGTATCGATTGGATACGGAGTAAATACAGGGCCAATACTGCCACCAGTGACCTTTAAAGGCAGTTTATGTATGGGAGAGCAGTGCGTCATGATCCAATACCAATACTAGCGCTGGTATCGACACTATTGATATTTGTATTGATGCATCAGACAAATCCATTACCAAAAACCAGCATGCTCACATGCATAATCAGTCAGGTTGGATAAATTTATCTCAACCATATACAGTGTGATGTAGTTGTCATGTAGAAAAAGGATAACAAGATGCCTAGCCTTGGTTTAGAGGGTATTAACTGAGTAAATGTCAACGAAATCCAAGCTGCTTGTTTAAATTAATGTAATTATTCTAAATAAAAAAAAATTGAGCCATGAAACACGTCAGGGATGAAACACTAGTGTCTAACTTAAAAAAAAAAGAGAGAGAGGTTGGGATGAGGGGGGCTTAATTGTACACTCCTTTCATTTGCTTTCTTTATATAACAGGATCAGGCAGATGGTGTTTGGGTAACACCAGCCTTACATGACTTCCCTCCACTCCCAGTTGTTCATAATCATCGCTGTTAGGAATTGCCACCACAGTATTAGTGTAACCATGCAGGTGTAAACAAACCTTAAACGCTGCAACACTTGATCTGCGGGGGGAAAAAAGCAAAAAAAAAAAAAAAAAAGCAAGAACGCGGATATTCTGTGAGATTTATGGGAATCTGTAAAGCACACGTTGTGAAAAAATTTTTATGCACTCAAATATACTTTAACTGACTTTTGGAATATTATAAAGAATCGTCCAAGTGCGCATGTGATGCTGTTTCTAGCGCACTCCGCATTGTAGCAGTAAGCTGCCCCCCCTCCTCACCAGCACCATAAAGCAACATTAACGAGCTTGCCAGCAGAGTTGGCGCTCTGCAAATATTGGAGCGTGCGTGCGCGCGCGCCCTAGCAGTGGCAGCGGTGTACAGTAGCATGGCAGACTGCAGTAAATACAGTGTTGAAGAGGCGGGGTTTGACATCTCCGCTCTGAAAACATCTCTAATCCAGTATTTCAGGTGGCCAAGTCGACCGAGCGAACCATTGCTCACTACCGCCGCGCTTCAGAGAACTGCAGCACAAACGCACGCCTCCTCCAGCCGGAGTGTACCGCGAGTGGACAGACGGGGCTGGTGTGTATCCGAAGTGGAAACTCGCCGTAGGAGAAGAAAACAGAGAAAAAGCCGGAGAGGGAGAGAGAAGTTTAAGCGACGCGAGGCAACACTTTACTTGTCTGGGCGGTGTTTTAGTTCCCAGCGTCTCCCCGTTTGAAGAACATAGTAAGCAGAGACTCATTCGGCTTTTCGGCGAAACTCAACCAAAAGAAAAAAATTACTTCCAACTCTTGTTCAGTGAACTCTAAAAAGGATATTGCGGCACTTTTTGTTGTCATTATTCAGCCACAGGTAAGCGTCAGCTGAAGTTTGACAAATGTACTTGTCTTTCCTTGTTTATGTTTGTGGCAGTACGTGGGGGCGGAAGCTCTACCTGGAACTCAGGTAAGTCGGAAACCAGGTAGGCCTAGCGTTAGTTAGGCTAGCTTTAGTTAGCATAACTTGCTATAAAAATATAGGTGTGGAAATTGTTTAGAAGTTTAGTAGAGTTTATTTGTCGTTTTTATTTTTTGACTGTTTATTTTATTCAGTTTATTATTATTATTTATGGGCCTTGAAATAGGCTCACTGTGAACCGTGAGCTGGGAGTGAGGCTATGAATCGGTCATTAAATATTATAAAATGTAGCATAAGGTCACGGAAGCTGGCGTGACGTTTTTAGTGTTGGAATGCTTTATTTCGTGACACACACACGCGCGTTATGTCAGCCTTTCTGTCACACAGTGTGCTATCAGAGGATGTCTCATCACTTTTTATTGCGTGTGGAAAGGTTTCATGTTGCGCAATCATGTACACTTTTGTTTATATCTACAGGAAAAAATTGCTGCTAGTCTGGTTTTGTGTTGTTGTTGTTGTTTTTTTTTTTTGGGGGGGGGTCAGATCTGTTGTAACAGAACTTCTCTTATGTGGCACCAGTAGACTGGTTTTTCCCCTCTAAACTCATGATAAGACCCTCATCCCGACGAGCCCAGTCCCTTAAGCACAGTGATGATGAGGCGATGAGATCATCAACCCTTTAGACATCTTGCTCTCTCAGCCTTCACATTGATGCAAGTGGAACATTTCCTTAAGGACAAAGATGGTGAAATAAACATAAAGGCATGCCGACGAACCAGTTCTTGACGCTGGGCCTTCTGCCACGTCTTTGTGTGCAAGCACATTGAGCAAGAGTACTTGGAAAAACGTGAGCTTTTGAGAAGTACTGTTTACTAATGTGCTGTGTCTTCATCAGCTTTTTAGAAAGATAGTGTGTGATGATAAGCTACTAACCCAGAGGTCTGCCACTTCAGGTTTAGCTTTAAAAGTTATTTCTTTATGCATTAAAAAAAAAAAGTTGCAGGAAAAAAAAAAGATAAATTGGGGGCAGGGTCATGATCATGCTTGATGTTTCTTGGCTAGCTGTTGTCAAATGAGGGGCCATTAAGGAAGCAATTGTGAGAGCAGAAAGGCGGATGTTATATTTCAGTCAGATTCTATTCAGCTTTGGATCCTGGCTCTGTGCTTTTGTTCTTCCTTTTCCTCTGTTGGAAGTAGTAAGGAGTAATGGGTGACTCAGCGCGGTGTGGGTGACCTGTTCAGTTTCACAGGGTTGAACACGGGGACCGTGTGTTGGAACGCAGCAAGACTTTGAGCAGGAAGCCCACACAGGAAATGAC